GCAGAAGATCAATATGTTTAGAGCAGATGGTGTTAGCTCCATTATAAAAGGCCTGTTAGACAAGTTACTTTGAACTAATAAAGTGTTGGCTCAACTCTCTGTTGATTTATTGATCTTTAAACCCCAATGAGAGATTCTGCTGTCTAGCAGCACTGCTATTTCCTTGATTATATATTTTGCTTAATGCAGTATTCAGATATACTGAGTATCGTTTTCTTTGCTGTGCAAATTTGTTCCCTACATGAAAAATTACTTCAGTGTATTTTGATCAGAAGTTTGTAACTGAAGAGAGTTTGGCTAAAATAATACACGGTTGATTGCAGGTGGTTTTCCAAATTTACCTCTACCATTGTTACTTGGGGCAGTGAATGATGTTTGGATTGGGTGCTGATATGGGTTGTTAAATAAATTCTGTTAATAAAGTTGTTTATGTAGTCTTGTATAATTGTAAAAAGTTAGAGGACAGGAACTGGCTAACTTGGGTGTTAACCTTAGAGCCAGTGATTTTCTTCATGAAAATACCATTGACAAAACTCATTGGATATTCACTTCTGAAACACTGATATTCCTCTTTGAAGCAGCTTTCTAATTAGAATCTTCGGGTACGACAAAATTGGTTGTGGCACAGAATTCAATTTTCAAACTTTCAACCTCTAGAACGTTTTTCTGATCCTTCATTACTGTCTTGCTGGCCATTGGCAAAGATTGTGCTATTTCCTGTGATAAACTTACATAATCTTGCAGACCTTAATTTCACTTATCGGTTCTCATGGGAAAAAAAATACTCAATTCTTAAGACTTTCTTGATAACTATAATCTCCATTGCAATACCGTAGTGAAACTATGCTGCATCGTTTTTTGTCATTGTTTTCCTTCCTACACTGGGTTACCCAAACATGTACGGATTTTTAATTGTAAACTAATCTGAGCATTATGCAAGTCATGGCCTTGCTTTTGTATTCAATAACCAGGTAGCAGACCAATGATTTTATTTGCCTTTTTGTTCATTCCTACCTTTTGATGACCTCTGCATGCATTTTGCTCTATCTTGGGTCCATTGTTTCCCTTTATTTGCAATTTATCAGGAAATTGTATCTGCTGTCTAACTACTCAACCTGCTACTTTGTCAGTGGCCATCTGTAATCTTTCATAGTTTTGCAATTTGTCAACAAAACAACCTGCAGATTTGATTTGAATAGCACAAATTGATGTTCTCTGAATAAGTTTAAATGATGTATACAAGTGTTAGTTAATGACTGAAGTCTTGATGCAGTCTCTCATAAAACACCACTTAGCCCATCTTTCTGTTCTAAGTTCCCTTATTCCTATTCGTCAATCACTATCCATGTGATCACAATCTCCATGATTTCTTAAATTGTCACAAAACTTGTGTTTATATGCTGTCTTTAACATAAAAAAAATCCAAGGTGCTGCAGTATGTATGTGTAGTATCATGCAGTGCAGATCATCTAGTATCATCTGGTATCATCTAGTGCAGATGAACTCATTCAGGATTCAGTTGAAGTACTGAGAGATTTAGATAAACAAGCTATCTAATTTAAACATGCTATAATATTCCAGCAGCATTATTTTAAATACAGCACCATTATTTTTTTATTATGCCTGCTTTTTGTAAATTATATTATGCAGAGTAACTTGTTCACAGTATGTAGTTAAGCAAGTAACCCTTTTTCACCTGGAGTACCCAAGAATTTGGCAGAGAATGAGTGGGAGAGTGTGTTGTTTTTTAATGTCACCTTGTAGAGGTGGTAAGGATAACTTAGTACCTGAACACACACTGCTTTTGTCTCTGCCCTGTTCACTGTCCCCCATCCTCTCAGTGGGCAACCTTGGTCCCATTGTCTGGTAGTCCCTCCTAAATCTGTCTTCCAGGTTCTCTTAAGGTTTGTTAAATCAACCTGTCCCTCTACTTTGTCCCTCTACTTTTAATCATTTCAAAATCTTATTTTGTTTGGAACCCATTGTTTTGTACCATCTTAACGAATGACTTGGAGTTGTTTACTATATGAAAGGTCCCTTGTATGCTAAGAAGCTGTAATTTTTTTTGACATGTTTAATACTTAAATCCTGAGTGTTTAACTGCATTGCTATGAAAATCTTCCAATCATTTGCTTAAATGCTTGTTGCTGAAGGACTGTAAATGTTCTAATTTGCAGAATACAGAGAGGCATGAATACAGTGCATGTGGAGATAATGCTCCCACTAGAGGGAGAGACTAGGACCTGAGGGCAGTGAAGGGATGACCATTTAGAACTGAGATGAGAAATTTCTTCAGCCAGACCATGGTGAATCTGTGGAGCTCATTGCTGCAGAAGGCCAAGTCACTGAGTGTCTTTAAGATAGTGACATTCTTTGATTAGTAAGGTGATCAAGGGTCACGGGGAGAAGGCTGGAGAGTGGGGTTGAGAAATGTATCAGCTGTGATTGATTGGTGGAGATTTGCTGAGTTGAATGGCCCAATTCTGCTCTATTATCTTATGGTCTTACTGATGTTTAAAAAGGATGGTGTGGTTGATAGTAAGCAAGAAAGCTGTAGACTGTGGGAAGATATTAATGGATTGGTCAGCAAGGCAGTTAAGTAGTATGAAACCAATCCAGGAAAGTATATAAGGAGATAATCTTGCGACAGCAGGCAAGGGAGTACACAAGTTGGTAGGATTCCGAGATGGAAGGAATGGAGGAACCTTGGGGTATTATGCTCCCAGATCCCTAAAGCATAACTCGAAAGTATGATCAAGAGGGGAGGTGGGGTGCTTCCTCTTCTTGACCAAGAAGTAAAGCTAGAGCTGTTTAAAGCGCTAATTAGACTGCAGTAAGAGTACTGTGTGTGTCATGGTCACCACATTACAGGTAGGATGTTATCACACTATCGAGTGAATAGAAGAGATTTGAGAGTGTTGCCAAGAATGAGGAATTTTAGTGATGTGGAAAAACGGATTCTGAGATTTTCCTTGGAACAAAGAAAGCTAAGGGGAGAATTAATTAAGGTCCATAAAATCATAAAGTGCTTAGATACAGTGGAAAGGAAGCAGAGGTCAGTAACCAGAGGCGATAGATTTCAAGAAATTAGTGGAATGCTTAGAGGAGAGTTTTCAACCGACGGTAATGGGGTCCGGAGCTTGTCTGAAGTTGTGATAGAGCGAGAAATCCTTATAATGTTTAAAAAAAAGCTTAGCCTATAAATTCCAACGTCAAGCGGATAGCTATAAACGAAGAGCCGAAAGGTTAAATTAAACTGGATAGCTTTTATTCAGCCAGCGTAGGCACAATAGACTGGCCTTCATGTCTGCTGTGTATTTTCAAAGTTTGCGCCTCATGTTAACTCTAAGGTGTAGTTTATTTTGCCCACCTCCATTTTTTTTGGAACGGTCTTTCCCTCTCCCTCAACAGTTGATAAAAGTGAATGCATTTAATGTGATAAGAACATTCATGAGATGCTTCGGAAATGGAGAGGGATTAACCTCGGCTCTTCTGTGCATGTGAGTGTGGCGGTGGTCAGCAATGGAAAGCATGATAAATAGTTTGGCTTTCAGCCTTTTAAGCGATACAAGTTAGGGTAAAAGATAGAGATGGACAGGCAGAGTGCTTGAGATGAAGGCCAAAGTATTTAAAGTCTGGCCATGTAAATTGAGGTTTTTTGGAACGAAAGTCCCAGAAATGATCTGAATGTAAGCAATGGAAAACTGGGGACATGTGACTGGAAAAGGTTGCAATACAAGCTGAATCTGATCCTAGATAAGGTGTAGAGCTGGATGAACACAGGCCAAGCAGCATCAGAGGAGCAGGAAAGCTGACGTTTCGGGTCTGGACCCTTCTTCAGAAATGGGGAAGGGGAAGGGGATTCTGAAATAAATAGAGAGAAGGGGAGGCAGATGGAAGATGGATAAAGGAGCAAATAGGTGGAGAGGAGACAGACAGGTCAAAGAGGCGAGGATGGAGCCAGTAAAGGTGAGTGTAGGTGAGGAGTTGGGATGGGGGTTGGTCAGTAAAGGGAAGACAGACAGGTCAAGGAGGCAGGGATGAGGCTGGTAGGTAGGGGGTGGGGGTTGAGATGGAAGAAGCGGATAGGTGGGAGAAAAGACGGACAGGTCAGGGAGGCGAGGACGAGCTGGGTCGGAGGCGGGGAGATTTTGAAGGTTGTGAAGTCCACATTGATACCATTGGGCTGCAGGGTTCCCAAGTGAAATGAGGTACTGTTCCTGCAACCTTTGGGTGGCATCATTGTGGCCCTGGAGGAGGCCCAGGATGGACATGTCATCTGGGGAGTTGAAGTGGTTCATGACTGGGAGGTGCAGTCATTTGTTGTGAACCGAGCGTAGGTGTTCCACAAAGCGGTCTCCAAGCCTCCGCTTGGTTTCCCCGATGTAGAGGAGGCCACATCAGGAACAGTGGATACAGTATACCACATTAGCAGATGTGCAGGTGAGCATCTCTTTAATGTGAATCTGATCCTGGAGTCTTTGAATTTGGCACATGGAGAATAAGGAGCCAATCTAATTGGGCAAGGATGGGGATAATGGACAGTCAAAGCTTTAGGTCAGGATGTACCCTTTCAAATTCCATCAGGCTGTTATTCATCGACTACAGCACCGCCTTCAGCACCATAATCCCTACCAGACTAATCTCAAAACACAGACTTGGGTCTCAGTTCTGCCTTCTGCAATTGTATAATCAGCTTCCTGACCCACAGACTGCCATAGTGAAGATAGACAACAGCTCCTCCACGATAATTGTCAAGTGGCACCCCGCAAGCATGCGTACTCAGCACTCTGTACACCTAGGACTGTGTAGCCAAATTCCATACGAATGCTATCTGCAAGTTTGCTAATGACACCACCGTTGTAGGCCAGATATCAAACAATGATGAGTCAAAATATATAAAGGAGATAAGTGCTTGGTGTTGTGTTGCAATGGTAACAATCTCTGTGTCAGCAAAACAAAAAGAACTGACCGTTTCTTTCAGAAAGGTGGAGGACACACCCCTGTCTACATCAATGGAGCAGAGGTGGAGAGCAGCAAGTTACTAGGAGTGATGATAACCAACAATTTGTCCTGGACCTTCCACATAGATGCAACGGTCAAGAACACACGACAATGCCCCTTCCTCAGATGGCTTAGGAAATTCAGTATGTCCATAAGGACTCTCTCCAACTTTCACAGATGCACCACCGAAAGCATTCTATTCGGGTGCATAATGGCTTGGTACAGCAACTGCTCTGCCCAGGACCTTAAGAAACTATAGAAAGTCGCGTGCGTAGCCTAGACAATCATAGAAGCCAACCTTCCATTCATGGACTCAATTTACACTTCTCATTGCCACAGAAAGGCTGCCAACATCATCAAAGACTCTTCCAACCTCTTCTATCAGCGAATCTTCGAAATATCAACATTCCTCAAAAAATCGACAAAACATTAACTCACCGCCTAAAATCAATGTTAAAACTCACCGTAAGTAATATAAACGTTACATAGGGGGTATACACGTCACAGTTATACTTTATTTCCAGCATAAATACTCTCAGCATGGTAGAACATTTGAGGTATGTAATTTTTGCCAGTTTATCAATCGTGCCAGTTGATAAGGTGCTGCTTAAAACAAAGTTTGCTGTACTATCGAATTTTTATTCGGTCACAAGCTCATCAAACAAGTCTTTATGAAACAATTCATTAAAAGTCAATCCTCTTAAAACAATTTGAGATCAAAATGTAATCTTTTCGAAGGCATAGATCATTTCTAATCATTGCAGACGTTTTGAAAAGCATACATGTTGAAGTCTAGGAGTCAACAGATGCCTCTTGCCTTCACTAACTCAGCTTCGAACTTCATGTTGCTTCCAGCTCAAAGTTAGAAAAAAATGCCCATCATAACTGGCTTTTGCTGACAAACTCTGCTCCATTGTCAGTGCTTTTTTTGTTTCTACATCTACCCAAGTTCTCCTCTGAACAACAATCTACTTGGATTACATCTGGGCACTCTGTTCAGATCCCATAAGCTGCTCTCTTTATAAAGACCGACTTGTTTGACCTAAGTTTCTGCCTCCTTTCTGTACTGCCTGTTATAATTTTTTGGATCTTTATAAATTCCTCCATAAAATTCTAACACTTATTTTCAGTCTTTCTCACAGTTATACCTGGAGTCATTTTACAACCTATCCTTCACTGCCTACCCCCCTCCCCTTTCTTGCCTCCATGCTGGCACTTCAGTACCTCATCCAAACACATGAGGTCAGGTTTGACGTGTGCATTGAGAACTAAGCTATCCTTCCATCACCCTTTCTTAACATTTCCGTTGTCTCTGTCGTGTAACCTTGGAAGACCTGCAATTTTTATTAGCTACTGATTTTATCTTTATCCCTGAAACACAATAGCAGTTTGAAAATTGATTCTATTCCCTCCTCAACTGCTCTTCACTGTTTGGAGTCATACATAGCAGAAAGGAAGATGGTTGTGGTTGGTGGAGGTCAGTCATCTCAGCTACAGGACACTTCTGTTGTGCTACTTGGGGCAGTGTCCCACCTGAAGTGGGGTGTACACTGATTATTGTATGATGTGCACTTTTTGTGATGAGTGTGATAATGAAGCAGTCCATATCCAAATGCAACAAGATGTCAGACAATATCCAGATTTGGACTGACCAGTGGCAAGTAATATGCATGCACAAAAGTGCCAAGCAGTGACGTCTCCAGCAAGAGAAAATCTAACCATCTAATCACTATCGATATCCTGGGTTTACTATTGACCAGAAACTGAACTAGTCATACAAATACTGGCTACAACAATAGGTCAGAGGCTAGAAATGTTGGATTAACTCGTCACCTGCTTTCCCAAAGCTTGTCCACCATCTACAAGGCACAAGTGGTGGAATTGTTCCCCTTGTTGGACCTGTACTCATCCACACAATACTCAAGAAGCTTGAGACTGTCCAGGAGATGACAACCTACTTGATTTGCACCATATCTACAAATAGCCACTCCCTCCATCACTGATACTCAGTAGCAACAAGTGTGTACCACCATCAGAATGCAGTGCAGAAATTCACTAAGGCTCCTTTTATGGTGTACCTTCTAAACTCTCAACCACTGCAGTCTAGAAACAATAGCAGCAGATATGTGGGAATACCATCATCTGTAATTTCCCCTCTGATCCACTCCTCATCCTGACTTGGAAATATATGTTGCTGTTCCTTCATTGTTACTGGGTCAAAATTCTGGAACTCCCTCGCTTATAGCATTGTAGATCTAACCAAATAGATTGCAGCAGGTCATCTTTTAGCATTTAGAGCTGAGCAGTAAATACAGGACCAGCCAGTGGCACCCACATCCCATGAGTAAATAAAATAAAATAAAACGGCATTATTTCAGTTTTTCTGCACTTAAACTTGATTTAAACAGAGATTTTGCCCATATCACAAATGACGTACTTCCATCTTGGTTAGCTGGCTTGCATTTTCCGCTGTCCTAGCTCATCACTTGCTGAAACCCTTAGCGATCTCTGGCCTTTCTGCTACCTTTAACTTTCATAATTGGCAGGATTTGAATAAGCTGAAATTCATTATGGTGTCCTGCACCAAATCATCATCATTCCTTCCTTGCTGACCTTCATTAGCTCCTGGTTTTACATATGTTTGAAATTTAAACCTCATCCATATGATTAAATCTGTTAAAGTTGTTCCTCTCTCACCTTCAACTCTACAAACTTCCAAGAACTCTGCATTCCTCCACCTTTGCCTCCCCTGTGCTGCTTTACCTCTTTAGAACATTGCCTTTGACTGTGTGGGACTTGTCAATTATTTTGACTGTTCTCCCTCTCCTCTAGTGGTGTAGTGAGTGTTCAGGGCCAGCAGCTTTCCTCTAAGAATGAAAGGCAAGTGTAGCAAGTCCAGGAAGCCATGGATGTCAAGGGATGTCGCAAGAAGCAAAAAGGAAGCATATGTTAGGTGCAAAGCATTAAAACAGGGAGCCCTTCAGATGTATAGAGTGTGGTAGTGTGCTTAAAGTAGAAGGACAAAGAGGGGCTTATTTTTGGCAGATAAGGTTAAGGAAACGCCAGCATGTTTTAAAAGTATATTAAGAGCATGATTAGGAAAAGAATGGTCTATTAGAGACAAAAAGGGCAGTCTGTAGAAGGAGTCAGCAGGTATGGTGAGCTCTTTAAGTGAATGTTTATTTATATTCACAAGGGAGAAAGTCATGGGAGCTGGAAATTTCAGTTGGGAGAATGAGGTTCTAGACCATGATACGATTAAAGAGGAGGCAGTATTTAGATGCTTTAATGGCATAAAGGTGCCAAATCCCCAGGAACTGATGAGATGTATCCCAGGCTACTATGGGAGGCAAGGGAGGATATTGCAGGGGCCCTGGCGGATATATTTAATACTTTGTTAGGCACAGGTGGAGTGCCAGATGACTGGAGGATAGCTAATGTGATTCATATGTTCAACAAGAGTAGCATGCACAGACTAGGTAACTACAGACCAGTAGTCTGACATCAGCTTGGGAAATTGATGGAAAGATTTCTGAGGGACAGGATGAATCAAGAGTGGATTGATCAGGGATAGCACAGATTTATTGGTACATATCTGACTAATTGTGTTTTATATATATATAAAAACTTATGTACGTGACTTCATGTTTTGATGTGGCTATTGTAATTGATGTGGTTTACATGGACTTCTGTAAGGCTTTCGACAAGGTCCCACATGGAAGGCTGGTCCAAAATGTAAACCCATGGGATGCAAGGCAAGTTTGCAAACTGGATCCAAAATTGATTCGCTAGTAGGAGGCAAAAGATAAAGGTGGAGGGTTAGTATTGAGATTGGAAGCGCATGGCTGGTGCACCACCAGGATCGGTTCTGGGATTCTTGCTGCTTGTAATGTACATTATCGATTTGGATGTGAATGTCGAAGGCATAGTTAGTAAATTTGCAGATAGACAAATTTGTGTTGCTGTTGATAGTGGAGACAATGGTCTCGGGCTACAGTCTGATATTGATCAGCTGGTAAATTGGGCGGAGCAATGACTGATGGAATTTAATCCTGATAAGTGTGAGGTAATGCATTTTGGGAGGCCTAATAAGGGAATGGTTTATACAACGAATGGTAGATCCCTAGGTGAACCAGTCTATAAATCCTTGAAGGTGTCAGCGCAGGAAAATTGTGTTGAAGAAGGCATGCGGGATGTTTGCCTTCATTAGCTGCGTTGTATAATATTGGAGCAGGTATCTTATTGCAACTTTATTGGTTAGGCTGCAGATGCAATACTGTATGCAGTTCTGGATGCCACACTACTGGAAGGATGTGATTGCACTGGAGAGGTTGTGGAGGAGATTCACCAGGATATTGCCTGTATAAAAGTCTTAATTTTGAGGAAAGACAATGCAATGGGTTTGTTTCCCTGGAGCAGAGGAGGCTAAGGAGAGATCTGATTGAGATGTACAAAGTTTGAGAGGCTTCGGTAGGGTAGTAAAACCAGAGGGCATAAGTTTAAGGTGAGGAGTAAGTGATTTAGAGGGGATCTGAGGCAAAATTATTTTGCCCAGAGGATGGTAAAAATATGGAACCTACTGTTGAATGGGTGGTGGAGGCAGGTACTCTCCCAACATTGAAGAAGCATCTGGATGAGCACTTAAAGTGCCAGGGCATAATAAGTTATGGATGAAGTTTGGCTGAAACTAAGAACCAAATATCAATGGTATTGTGGGGCACAATATAAATCAGGAAATTAGAAGTGCATGTAGCAAAAGAAATGTAATAATCATGGATGGCTTCAATCTGCACAGACTGGATGAATATTATGAGCTCCAGTGCTATGGAGGAAGAGTTTCTGGAAATATGCTTCAGTTGCTGGATCAAAATCCAGAAACACACTCCCTGACGGCATTGTGGGTCTATCTCAAGCACATATCTTGAAGTGATTTCAAGAAGGCAGCTCATCACCACCTTCTCAATGGCAACTGGGGATGGGCAATAAATGCTGGCCCAGCCAGCAACCCCTACATCCCATTTAAAATAAAAAAAAAAATGGTTTCCTGGAACAGTATGCTCAGGAATCAACTATGTCACTTGGTATTTAGATCTATATTTTGTACTGAGAAAGGACTAATTAATAAGCTTGTTGTAAAGACTTTTAAAGAATAGTGAGCACAGTTTGGTAGAATTTAAGGATTAAGTTTGAAAAATGTAGTTCAATCTGAAAGGGTCTTAAGCCTAACATGGACAATTATGATGGTATGAAGAGAAAATTGGCTTGGTAGATTTTAAAAATAGATTAAAATGTTTGGTGGCAAATAGATCATAGCTAGTATTTAAAAAAATTAATGCCTGGTTAGCAAAAATATCCCAACAGTAAAAGCCAGTGTGCTGTGAATAAGTAGTATTAGATTAGAGGAGGAGTCTCAAGTCACAAGCTTGAGGATTGGGAGAATTGGCAAAGAAGAACTAAGAAATTAATAGAGACAAAGAGAACATGAGTGTAAAATGCATGAAATATGGAAGTGAATTGTAAAAGTGACTATAGGTTTGTAAAAGGGAAAAGATTTGTAAATGCAAACGTGGCTTCATTGTATTGCAGAAACCACAGAATTTAAAATGGGGAAATCAAGAAATGACAGAAGCTAAATTGTACTTTGTGCTTGGTTTCAAAGAGAAACACAGAAGGATCCCTGAAATAATTAAGATCCAATAGGTTATGAAAATGTGGAACTGAAATAAATTAGTACACTTGGTCCCTATTACAGCATATGTGTGTATTCATTAACTCAACCCGAGATGCTATCTTCTTTCCCACCCCCCCACAAACAGATCCTGATGGATCGCGTGCTATTGGGTCTGTTGGGTTAAATGCAGGATTCATATTATTGTGCAAACTGCTGTTTTTATTTTGTCACACACCAATCTGCTAGTAAAAATGTAGTATCGGAGAAATTAATGGGGATGAAGGTTGACAAACATCTAGACCCATTGGCCTTTATCTTGGAGTGGTCAAACAGCGTGACAGAGATAGTGAGTGAAAGGATTTTGAAAGATGATCAATGCAATTAATTATGTAATGGTGCCTGCAGATTAGAAAGGTGCAAATATGACCACACAATTTTATGAAGGAGGGTGAGAAAACTGCAAGCTGCAGACCTATTAACCAAACATTAGGGAAAGTACTAAATGCAAGAAATACTAGAAGTATGTATAGTGGATATTCAGAAAATAATTCTGATCGGACAGGGTCACCATGGATTTATTTTAAAAAATAAAAAAAAATAAAAAAAAAATAAAATTGACAAACGTTTTTTGAGGATGTTAGTAACAGTCAGTGGGAGAATCTGTAGATGTGGTATATTTGGATTTTCAGCAAGCTTTTTATAAAATCCCACACTTGGAGTTAAGGAATCAAAGCCAGTGTACGTGGGATTGGGTAATAAACTAATGTGGATTGAGGATTGGTTAACAAGCAAAGCAGAGAGTAGAAATAAATGGGTAATTCTTAAGTTGGCAGGCTGTAACCAGTGGGGTTCCACAAGGATAAGTGCTTGGATCCCAGCTGTTCTCAATGTATATCGACAATTTGGATGTGAAGGCCACTTATGAAATTTTGAAATTGCAAAAGATATAAAACATGGTAAGATTGTGTGGATGATGAAGAGAGATTTTGAGGATTTTGACGGGGGTGTATCTGTAAGAGCATATTAGAATATAGTATGAGGTTATCCACATTGGTGGGAGGAACAAAGATGGAGTATTTTGTAAATGGTGTGAGACTGAAAAATGTTGATGTCCAAAGGGATTTGTGTATTCTTGTTTGTAAGTCACTGAAAGCTAGCCTTCTGGCGCAGCAAGCAATTTGGAAGGCAAACATTGTTAGCAGTCATTGCAAGAGGATTCAAGTACAGGAACAAAAAGATCTTACTTCTATTGTATTGACTACTGGTGGAACTGCACCTGCAGTATTGTCTTGCCTTTTGGTCCTGCTGTCTAAGGAAGGATGTACTTGTCATAGAGGAAGTCCAGTTGAGACTCACCAGATTGACGCCTGGAATGATGGGACCCTCTTATGAGAAGAAATGGGTAAGACAGGCTCTGTATTTTCTGAAGTCTCAGAATGAGGCAGTCTCACAGAAACTTACAAATTCTTAAAGGAATAGATCATATAGATGCAAAAATGTTTTGCCTGACTCTGGTGTCTAGAACCAGGAGACAGAACCTCAGAATAAAAGGCAAGCCATTTAGGACTGAGGTGAAGAGGGACGTCTTCATACAGTCAGTGAATGTTTGGAATTCTGTACTCAAAAAGGGCTGTTTCAACTAGTCATTAAGATCAAAATACAGATATATTGCTATTATCTATATCAACAGACATGGAAATCATGCAGGAATGCGGTGTTGAAGTAGATGATTGACCATTATCTAGAATGACTAACCAGCTCGAGGCTGACATTTACTTCTGTGTTATACTTTCAGTTGAAATGGAAATTATGTACCCCTTCAGTTATCCACATCCCAAACATTCTTCTTACTTTGCATTTTCCTGCATCCACCACTTTTACTTGCACCATGGTGGTTATTGAACCTTTGCTTGCATCTTATGCTGAAATTCCTAATCCCTTTTAACAAGTCTCCCTGCAAAGCTTTCTCAACCATATCTCTCAAAGCCAATTTTTGGTCACCCACCTTTCTGGTCTTGCTGTTTTCTTTATGCCCTGATTTTTTTTTTTTTGTTTTTGCAATAATTTAAAACTTGTGATCTGTAGCCTGTTGAAACATTTAACATTTTGATACTAAGTAACATGATGTCAGCATAATTTTTTTGTAATTTAGGGATGCAAATATGCGGTACATATTCCCAAAACTGGCAACTTCAAGACAGAGGCTTTGGCCTATTTGGATTATTCCAGAGTGGTGCTTGTCTGGCTAATTGTCAGTAGGTAATTTAGACTATTCTGTGTAAGGTGGAGTCTTTGGTTTCTTGAGAACAAGAATAGATTCACATGTAAATGTTAAAACTGGGGACAAGTCCTGTGCAGTGCCTAGCCAAACTGTCCAAGTAAATTGTTTTTAATTTTCTCAATTTATGTATAGCAAGTACTAAGGGTCTGGTTTTTGGGCAACTCTTTTAGACAGCTGTTCTGAGAGAGTGTGCCTACGTTTGAACGAAAAAAGTCCTTTTTTAATCACCAGCAAAATGTCCGATTATTAATATTGTTTTTTAGGAAGGGAGATGTGACCTTGCTGAACTGCACAGCCGTTGTGAACACAAGTAATGAAGCACTGTCTGACAAAAATGCTATTAGTGAAAGTATCCACTTACATGCAGGACCAGACCTCAAGGATGAGTTACAGAAATTGAAAGGTAAGGTTCACATAACATCATTAAAGCAGGAAAATACAGGTGCACCTTCTGGGTTTTTTTGATGCCATAAATTACTTCTAAACCAGGATACTTGGATTTACTCGCCAATAAATGTATCCCAGTTTTGCAGGGAGTTAACAAGGTGTAGAGCTGGATGAACATAGCAGGCCAAGCAGCATCAGAAGAGCAGGAAGGCTGATGTTTCGGGCCTAGACCCTTCTTTTTTAACCCACTTAGTATTCTGAATGTAATAATATTTTTACCTTGAAATTTATTTATTTAATTTTTAAATTGCGTAATCAGCCTAAGCCATATGAGCATTAGTGAGCTTTAAAATTTAAGATTTTATTCATCTTAATGAAGCCATTTTTTCTCCTCAAAATCGCAACACGTGCAGTGACAGCCACTTTAGTCCATTGATGGAATTTTGTTATGCCCTTATTGTATTTAAATGTTAAGTTATTTCAAGGTGTTTACATACATTATCCTAACACCATGTTGATTTCATTCCACGTGTTTATCAGTTTCTGCAATAGAGAATCATCTAGTATCAGTCATAAGTTTGTCTGTATTCAGATTGAACTCTGTCATACAGTCCCTGATTTGCAGTCAGTTTATTTTGAAGTGTTTTAGGTTATATTGACTGCTACTCTATTTATTCTCTTGTGTGCCTTCATCATCCCATTTCAATTTCTTTTTGTCTACGTGGAAACCATGTTTTTCTGTATTTCTTCATAAATTACTGAGCTGTGAAAGAGATTTAAAGATTGGCTCCATGACTGTCCCGAAATAGCTCACTAGTTTGAATGTTTCTCTCTTTTTGTTGTGCGCTCGCTCTGCGGTCAAAACTGGGCTCTCGATACTCTTCATCTTACCTGACCAGCTTCTGAGCTGACATGATATCCTCTGACTTGTACTCAACCAATTTTGAGACTTAGACACATGACAGTTAAGGCTGAATCAAAGGGTTTCCTCTGGGTGCCCCGGTTTCCTCCCACAGTCCAAAGTTGTGAGGGCTAAGGGGATTGGCTGTGCTCAATTGCCCTTAGTGTTGAGTGATGTATAGATTAGGTAGTTTAAAGGGGGATGGGTCTGGGCGGGATGCTGTGAGGTTCGGTGTGGACTGGTTGGGCCGAAGGGCCTGTTTCCATGCTGTAGGGATTCTATGATTCTATCAAAGTATTGTGTTTATTTGCTTTTAACTTTGTGCCTTTATTCCCCTCTTCAAAATGATTTGCTCCTGGAATTGGAGATATAAGCAGAGAATCAAAAATTGTGTATATTGTTTCAAATATTGTTCGTATGTTTATTGGTATATACATTTCTTCATCTGTCAGAGCCATACCTCCCAGAATTTGAATTTCTGCATTAAAATGCATCATTTTTAAGTTCACAGTTGATGCGTGTTGGAACTAAAATAAACGTATTATTGGATTCATAGTATTCAGATTAACATGACCATTGGTTCTCAATTGAATGGTCACTCCCTCTTTCCCTCCTCTGGCCAAAAATCAATTGTTTTTAACCTCTTTTCCCTCCTGCAGCTTTGGCTTTAGCTTCAGAGTCATGTTTTCAAGGATTGGTCTTTAATGATTTAGTACTTGTCTAGTAATTTATATTTGCAAAATTGAATGGGGAAATGCTTATGAGGCAAGTATTCAATATGCCTCATAATTAGGGTAACAGTAAGTATACAACCCACGTACAAATTGTAATTGAGTTGGATGACAGCATGGTGGGGTCCTGAACTGAAGCTGCCTTATCATGAGCAGCAGTTGATTTCAGCAACAGAAATGCCAACTTAGAATAACAGTAAAGGTTGACCTAGAGTTTTAAATAAAATATCAACACCTCCCCGCCACCGCCCCTCCCCCCCCACCCCCCTGCCATGTAAGAGATTATCAATGCAAAATTTGCTCCAAATGCAGCAAATCAGATACTGAGTCCAGTGAGGGCAAAATAAAGTCAGAGTTCCAGGAAGGCATCAGTGAGATTAAATTTAATTGTGACTTTGCAGAGGAAGGCAAGCAGAAGACCATTAAGTTAAACTTTGAAGAGCCAATGGTTAGTTTGGTCTGAACGTAGATAAAGGGTCCCGACCTGAAATGTCAACTTTCCTGCTCCTCTGCTGCCTGGTCTGCTGTGTTCCTCCAGCCTCACACTGTGTCTCTGACTCCAGCATCTGCAGTTGTTGCTATCTCTGAGATAAAGATGTCCTTTTTTATGAAAGAGTAGATTTAATTGTGAAAACAAATGCACAGCGGTCATTTTCACTAATACATGATATTCCAGTATGTCCAGCATTTAACCTAATCCAGTTGCTTTTTTTTGAGGAGGTTTTGGCACTATTTAGCCAGCTGTCTTGTTTCTACTGTTTCTCTTGTGCTGCTCCAGTAGTGCTGAATGATCTATGGTTGTTAAATGCTTGCTTCCCGTAACTGCTGATTCTGTTCTGCAAAGGTCATCCTTTGGACAGCTACATCACCTTTTGCTGCACTAGGTTATATTGACTCTTCAAAACTCTTCCTGCTATTTTTAATCCAACACAAATTGCTGTTTCTCAGACTAGCTATGAAACTGCACAGAGCTGATGGATTTACCCTTTACCTTCTAACATCTCCTTGGAAATTGCTTTGTGTGTGTTCCACGCTGTATTCATGCTGTTTTCAGACTACTTCGCCCTATCCAAGCACTTGAGTTTAATTTCGAACGGTTTCACACAACCTCATTTCTACCTTCTGTTGATGACTGGCATGTCTCTGAGCTGTGTCAAGCTTGTATAACCTGATTAATTTATTGTTGTACTATGGCTGCTACTTTAGACTGTGTCCCTTACGTTTTTTATGTTTAATGCTACTTGGGCCTCTTCCTGTCACCCAGCCATACGACTTAACACTTCTCACTATTGGGTACTATATATCCCCTCCCCGTCTGATCCCTTTCGCATATGCACTACTTTGTCTTTCTACTCAACTGCTCTTATCACAAGAATTAACTCTTGAATAAAGTCATGACCATATCTTAACTTATTGAGGCATTTGTGGCTACCTCCTTGGCAGCATGACCCCACCACCACCACCCCATCAAACTGTCTGGCATGCACACCAGAAGCTGGCGTGATCAATCTTCCCTTTCTCTCACCCAACCCTCCACTGAACCCAGTATCCAAATTAATTCACACTGTTTATTTGCAGTCCAAAATGTTCATTGGCTTGTAATTAATGCACTTGATGTCCTATTTTGTGCTGGATGATTTATATTTGTATTTTTGGTTTGTCTATTACAGAAGCTTTCCCTCCTCTCTGTTCTACTAGTTACAGTTCCTAATTTGCTGCGATGTTAACGTGATTCTCATCAAGTCGAACACTTCTTTCTTCCTATTCTTCTGGCACTTTCTCCTTCAAGCATGTCAAATTTGTCATTTCAAATTAGAAATTTTTTTCCTGTTTTCCTCCCAAAACCACAATCTGCCTTCCTCTTTGAAATATCATTCTTTCCTCCTTCAGTTTCTTTGCTGAGAAGATTTGCAACATTAAGATTTTGATTGCTGTCCTGACTCTTCTTTACTCCCCTCCAAAATTTGTAGCTTTGCTGTCATCCTTAAATTCTTCTTCCATGAAAACGTTCCTACCATTATTCATCCTATTGTCTTTACATGGGCTGCTTTGTTTTACCTTGTGGTATCAGTCTCTGTAGGACTATCTCTAACCCCTACCTTGACGACTTCACACCCTGCGTCTCAGCTACCAGCATTCTTTTGTGTTTGCTTGTGGTTGAGCTTTAAAGTAAGCATGCAACTCAATTTCATCTACAGTTGAGCTTATGAATCAACATATATGTTATCTAATGGATGACGAGTTGTTGGAAGCTCAGCTTGCTGACACCTCTGACAATGTTGCGTACCACGAGCAATTGCTGTTGTGTTTCTGGAATCTGAAATGCAGAACAACTTGTATTTTAAGGTTGCCGCACAGGAGAGGCGAAGATGACCAAAGGCTTTAACTTGGCTGCAAGGTTTATTATCCACACAGTTGGACCACGATACAATGCTAAGTACAGAACAGCCGCTGAGAGCTCCTTATATAGCTGCTACAGGAGTGTACTCCTATTAGCCAGGTAAATAGACTTGAATATTATTTGGTTTCATAGCTACAGAGGGGAGAAGAAGAAAAGTTAGTCTCTCAGCTGTTAATTCTCTTATATATGATATACGAGCATGGGTTGAATTCTGTTTTTCTGGAAATCCACAGAGATAGTCATACAGCATGGAAACAATCCCTTCTGTCCAACTAGTCCACACTGACCATGTTTGCAAATTAAACTCATCCAATTTGCCTGCATTTGGCCCGTGTCCCTCAATCTTTCATATTAACGTACTTATTGATATGTCTTTTAAGCGTTGTAATTGTACCTGCATGCACCACTTCCTCTGGCAGTTCATTCCGCATACAAACCACTTCCTGTAAGAAAAAAGTTGCCCTCTTGTCCTTTTTAAAAATTTTTTCCTCTCACCTTAAAAAATGCCCCCTAGTTTTAAACTTGCCTACTTTAGGGCAAAGATCTTTGCTATTCACCTTATCAATGCCCGTCATGATAACATAAACCTCTATAAGGTCATCCCTCAACCTCCTATGTTCCAGTGGAAAAAAGTCCCAACTCAAACCCTCCAGTCCCAGCAACATCCTGGTAAATCTTTTATAAACCCTCTCCTGGTTGATGATAACCTTCCTATAACAGAGTGACCAGAACTGTGTGCAGTACTCCAGAAGAAGCCTCACCAACATCCTGTACAACCTCAACATGATGTTCCAACTCCATACTCAAAGGTCTGAGCAATGAAGTCAAGCATGTGAACCGCCTTCTTAACCACCCTGTCTACCCGTGATGCAAATTTCAAAGAATGATCGACCTGAACCCCCAAGGTCTCTCTGTTCTACAACAACACCCAAGGCCCTACTATTAGTTGTATAAGTCCTGCCCTTTTATTGCATTTTGGTAAAACCAACCTTGCATTTATCCAAATTAAACTCCATCAGCCACTCCTCAGTCCATTGATCAAGTTGAGCCAAGATCTTTGTAATCTTAGATAACCTCCTTCATTGTCCACTGTATCACCAATTGTGGTGCCATTCACAGACTTACTAACAATACCTCCTATGTTCTCATCTACATCATTTGTATAAATGATAATCAAAAGTGGCCTAATCCCGATCCCTGTGGACCACCGTTGGTCATGGGTCTCCAGTCTGACAAACAACCTTCCATCACCACCCTCTGTCTCCTGCCATAAAGCCCATTTTGTATCCAATTGGCAAGCTTACCCAGAATCTCATGTGATCTAACTTTACTAATTAGTCTACCACACAGAACCTTATGAAAGGCTTTACTAAAGTCCAAGTAAACAACATCTGGTGCTCTGTCATCAATCTTTTTAGTTACTTCCTCAGAAAAATTCAATCAAGTTTGTAAGACATGCTTTCCCTTGCACAAAACTATGCTGACTATCTGTAATCATTCCTTGCCTCTCCAAATGCATACAAATCCTATCTTTCAGAATCCCCTCCAATAACTTAGCCACCACCAGTGTCAGACTCACTGGTCTATATTTTCCAGGCTTCTCCTTGCAGCCTTTCTTAATTAATGGCATAAATTTGGCCACCTTCCAGTTCTCGGGCACCTCACCCATGGTTATAGAGGATACAAATATTTGTTAGGGGCCCTGCAATTTCCTCCCTAACTTCCATAACTCCTGGGATGCAGTTGATCAGGTCTCAGACTTATCCAGCACTTCCTTTTCTGTGAAGTGAACTGTTTTGAAAACATCAATATTTATTTCCCTGAGTTCTCTAGCCTCCGTTTCTTTCTCCCCAAAAGAAACTGGCACGAAATATTCATTTAATATCCCTTCCATCTCTTGAGGTTCTGCATGAAGAAGACCTTGTTAATCTTTAAGGAACCCTGCTCTGTCTCCAGTTGCTGTTTTGCTCTTAATGTATTTGTAGAACCTCTTTACATTATCCTTAACCTTATTGCCAAGTCTGTCATAGCCCCTCTGCCTTCCTGATTTCCCTCTTAATGCCCCTTCACTCTTTATACTATTTCTTAGTTTCACTGGAGACTTCAATATGAAGTAAATACAAAAATGAATGCAGTAAAATGCCCAAAGTAGTGTTTTGGGCTTTAATTATTTTGCTCCTGATTTGACAGGCATTTTCTCTCAATTCCAGAATTCAGTTGCTGCTATTAGTTCCATGTGCTGTCCAAGTGGTGATGTTGGTTGACACACAACTTGATTGTTTTCATTCTATCTCACCCTGACTCAGGAAAGAAAAGCACAATGACAATTTAATGAGTATTGAGCTGCAATACGTGTGCAGAGAATTACTATTAAGCAAAACCATTATTTGGTGTTAAAGTGAACTGGTTAGAAGTGTGTTGTAAATGCGTGCCTGATTTGAAATGTGCTTCAGGTAAAATATTAGAGTGGTCCATTATTCTAAAAGCTAACTCAGTTTACAGTGTAGTATTGTACGCTATCTTAAAACATTGCTGTCCTCTTTTAACAAAAAGTCATAGCTGTAATGATTGTATTATGCACCTTTTAGTTAGTGTTGTGTATTGTAATTTTAGATGTTTGTTCATGTTTGTGTACATTCAAAGTGAAATTGACCATATTCATCCTGCAAATGATGACAGGAAACTTGAGCCATCCTGATTTACTACTTCTGATCTGTTGCAGGGAGCATTCAATGTCATCAGTAGGATTGTGTGTCATTAATACACCAAAAAGAGGCTACCCTTTGGAGGATGCTACCAATATTGCTTTGAGTATGTATTGCTTATTATCTGTGATACCTTTTGCTGCTATTCTACAAAAGTAATTTGAGAGAAAAAATCAAAACTTTTTATCAGTTTTTCAAAGTGATACCTGCTTTCTGCCATGAGAGACGTGCAAGTTTTACTCAAAACTAGTAAAACTCTTGCACGTAGTGGATCATTTTTCGAATGACCAACCTTTATATGGACTATAGTGAATTAAAATAAGGATATCTAAGGATTACTGCTGCTAAGGTATATTTTGTTGATTTGGTAAGCCTTAACCTGCTTTCCTTGATTTAAATACTTGAATTTTTAAAAATTGATTTATGGTTTTCTTAAAGATTAACTAACTTCTGTGCTTAGATGTCCACTTCATGTATCACAGTGTAGGTCATGTTTAAAAAGCCTCCTCTGCTACCAGTATTCTCATCTGTTTTTCATTAAAACTGCAGAACCATGGTATTTATCAGAAAAAAATTAGAAAGAAACTCTTAAAAATTTCTTTGATGACCTTCCATTATCACTTTTTTCTAAAGACATTGGAGGAAGGCTTCAAAGAAGGTACAAGAGAGACTATTAGGATGATTGAGGATGAAGGTCTTCAGGAATGTGGTGAGCTTATTGAAGTTAAATTTGTTTGAAGCGGAGAAATTTAAAGGACGATAGAGATTTTCAAAATGTTAAGTTTTGCAGCAAGTAGGCAGAAACTTTCCTTTTGGTAAGTAGAGTAGTAACTAGATTTTAGGTTTAACATAACTGCAAGACGGGAAAATGTTTGTCACAAAAGATGGAATGCATTACCTGAAATGCAATCAAAGCAGATTCTGTATGCGTTTTCAGAAGTCAATTGGACAGCGATCTTGTAAGAGTGCTAATTCGCAAAGTTAAGGAAGAAAGGCTGGCATATAGGAATTTGATAATTGCATCAAAGAACCAGTACAGATACCATAAGCTGAATGGTCGTCTCCTGTTCTACAATACTTTTGATTTTATAATTGACATTTCATTCATCATTTTTATTTTTAAGAATGTATGCTTATTTACCTAGTAGTGATATTGAAGGTTCAGCAAAACCTGGTCGTTTAGTCATATAGCATGAGGAAGCTAATTGGATAGAATAGAATTATAGTTAAAATTGCAAGATAGCTGAAGATGCTTGTATCAATAATACATTTGTTTCATGTTTTTGTTAGTTATCCTTGTTCATGTCGCATTCAAACTGTTGACTAATCTATAGATTTTTAGCACTACCAATTTTAGTATTAATCTCAAATTATCCAATAATTCAAATTCAACAAAAATGGCAAGCATGAGAATTTGGTGATTGAAGTAGACACTATTTCGTTAGTGTTTAGGACTCGTTATTAAAAACAGCCAAATATCTTAATAGAGATAACAAGATGTAGAGCAGGATGAACACAGCAGGCCGAGCAGGAAAGCTGACATTTCGGGTCTGGACCCTTCTTCAAAAATCTGAAGGAGGGTCCAGACCCGAAACGTCAGCTTTCCTGCTCCTCTGATGCTGCTTGGCCTGCTGTGTTCATCCAGGTCTACACCTTGTTATATCAGATTCTCCAGCATCGGCAGTTCCCACTATCTCTGCTATTATAGGATTCTGCCTTTCTAGCCATTAACACAGGGTCCCAAGCTGGTAATTGTATTAGACTACAAGGTATTTGCATTTATCCCACTTTCTACACTTAACTTCAATTCCTAAATTTAAAGGTTTATATGCTAAAACGAATGAACCTAAACCTGATACATTTCATTGCAATGCTACCAGAAGATCATCAAAGTTTAAAGAGAGGCCAAATTAATTCTTTATTTTTTTCCTCTGAAGGAATGTGGAAATCCAGTAAAAGTTTACAACGTGTATAATTTTTCTCCTATATTTTGATTCTCAGGAACAGTTAGACGATTTTTGGAGAAACATGGAGACACTATTGAGACTGTTGTTTTTGCAGTTACAGATCTAGAAGAGGTAAATTATCCATTATTTTAGTTGAGGTCTTAAACTTTAACTCTGAAGCTCAAATAACTAGAATATCCTTCGTCATTTTTCTGCCTGCATTTTTCTATGAAATAAGTTGTCATTTACTCACGTTGATCTGTGTAGAAAGAGAGGCCTTAAAGAGCAACTGCCATTTCTGTCGACAACAACAAACATTGGTGACAGCAGAGGCAGTGTTAGCCTACTACTTTGACAATACTTCTTCCTGCAGTGATTTGTGATCAGTTATGGTTGTTTTGGACCATTGTTTATAGCAGCCTTGTGCAGGTAATGAAACTTTCATTTAAGCTGATCTTTATGGACTGTCCCTATCACTAGCGGAGGTGATGGTCCCCAACAAAAAGACTTTTGAAAACGTGGGAATTTTAAACAGATGTAAAGTGTGCAATTTTTACAGCATGCGCCGTATTACCATTGTGCTTCTGTCACAACTTTGTTATTATGACCTATTTCAGATTAAATGTAAAAATGCACATCATTGAAGGAGGACACTTAACAGTTACGGTTGGAGTTAAGATTCACCAGCAGAACAGAAAATAACTTGGACACAAAAACTAAAGTTTCCAAACTTTTTTGTTAAAAAGAAAATCTACTATTTAGCGGCTAGGCAATCAATTGAGATGGTTAAAAATTAAAATATTCTACTGAGTCATGGCTGCCCGCATTAAAGTGGCAAGAATTTGGAAATTCCTAACCAGAAGGGTGGTTGCTGCGTCATAATAAATAGGAGGGGTCAGGGCACAGTGGTAATGTCACTGGCCTGGTCATCCAGGACCACAGACATGGATTCGAATCCAACCATGTGACGTGTTGAAATTTTAAATAGAATTAAAACCTAGCAAAATGGTGACCATGGTTCACTATTTTTCTTCAGGGAAGGAAACCTGCCATCCTAAACTGATTTGGCCTACATGTGACTCTAGACTCTCGGAAATGTGGTTGATTTTGAACTAAACCCCTAAGAAAGCCGAACAAGCCGCTCATTTATATAAAAACTGCTGCAGTGCCTAACAAAGGAACAAAACTGGACAGGCTATCTGGCACGTACTTAGATACTGGAAACAACAACTGCATCCACAGCCCTGTTGACCTTGCAGATGATATCTTGGGCATTGCCATCAGCATCCCGGTATGTTTGTATCATAGAGCCACGAGTGGCACAGTGCTATACTGTCCGTGGTGGAGTTGCCTGGGGTGTCGTCAACAATTGACTCTGGACCTCATGAAGTCTCATGGCATCAGCTCAAATGCGGGCAAGGAATTCTCCTGCTGAATGCTACCTTCCACCTTAATGAATCCATATTCTTCCATGGTGAAAACCACTTAATGAGAGCACTGAGGCTGGTAAGGGCACAAAATATATTCTGGATGAGCAAACACAATATCCGTTCCCGTGAATGGCTTGGTATCATCACTGCTGACCAAGCTGGAAGAAGGATGTAGCTACTGGATTGGCTTTGCTGTAGGTGGTGAGGGAACCAACAAGAGGGAAATATCTACTTGACTTCATCCTTACCAATCTTCCTGTCACGATGCATCTGTCATGACAATGATGGCTGGAGTGACCACCAGACAGTCCTTGTCAAGATAAGTCCCATATTCAAATTGAAGATCTTCTCCATCGTGTTGCACTACCACCATGGTAAATAGGACGAACTTGGAACAAATATATTAAATCAAAACTGGATATCCATGAGACAATGGGCCATCAGCAGCAGCAGAAGAATTATATTCAACCAAATCTGTAACCTCAGGCTGACCCATCCCGCACTGAACCATTACCATTCAACTAGAAGATCAACCCTAGTTCAATGAAGCTTGCAGGAGCAGTACCAGGTATACCTAAAAGTGAGGTGTCAACACAGGGAAGATATTCCAAGTCAAACTTGCATGTCCAACAGCAGAGGTAGCATGCAACACACGATTATATAACCAACAGATCCGTTCTAAGCTCTGCATTCCTGCCACGTCCAGCCATGAATGGCAGTGGAAATTAAACAACTAACAGGACGTGAAAACTCCACATATATCAACCCTTAATGCTGGAGGAGCCCAGCACATCTGTGAAAGAGATGAAGCTAAAGTATTTGTATTCATCTTCAGTCACAAGTGCCAAGTGACCGTCTGACTCTGCCTGTCCCTGAGCACCACAGCATCATGGATGCCAGACATAATCAATTCAATTCAACCTAAGAAACAGCTGAAGACTGTAGATCCTGACAATGCTGCTGTAATAGTGTTGAAGACTTGTGCTGTAGAACTAGCTGTGCCCCTCGCAAAGCTGGTCCAGTAGATTTGTAATAATGGCAAAACGCAATAATCTGTAAAATTGTCCATTTGTGTCCTGTGCCTAATAAAACAGGGTAGTGATCTGACAAATTAACCAGAACAATTAGTCTACTTTCAATCATTGATAAAGTAACAGTATTAGCTTTTATTGTCATATATACTCAGAGTACAGTGAAAAGTTTATAAGTCACCATTTACAGTGCTGGTTTACTTATAAAAGTAGTTAGGCACAGCTTCTTTACTTACAATAAAATGCCCAGCATTACAGAAATAAAAGTTCAGTACAGCAGACCACGCTGGCACCTAGCTTCCAGTCCACACTGGGCCCAGGCTCCAGACTGCTCTGGCACCACACTACACCAGGAGGCTGCCAGGTCAGGTGGCTTCCGCTCGCCAGAGACCGGGGTGAGTCAGAGACCACATGAAACGAAGGGAAGAAAAAGAACAACAGACATCAAAGAAGGGGTCATTGACAATGCTACCAACTGTCACCTGCAAAGGAATAATCTGCTCACTGATGCTCACTTCAGTTTCCACCAGGTCCACTCAGCTTCTGACCTCATTACAACCTTGGTTAAAGGCGCTGCACTCCAGCATGATGGTGACTGCCCTTGACATCAAGACAGCATTTGATTTTGTGTGGCATCAAGGAGCCCAAACAAAATTGGAGTAAATGGGAATGGGGAGAAATCTCTTCACTGGTTGGATTCATACCTAGCAGGAAGGAAGATGGCTGTCATTGCTGAAGGTCATTCACCACAGTCCAAGGGCATCTCTGCAGGATGTCCTTGGGTAGATACTTGATAATCATTCTGGTCAAAGGTGTTTTTCCACACCCCCGGAGCAGGTGGGACATGAACCCAGGGAAGACGAGTGTTACTGGATTATTAATCCAGAGGCCTCATTATGTTTGAATCCTAGTAGGGAAGCTGGTGGAATTTAAATTCAACTAATCAATCTGGAATTGAAAACTACTCTCGGTAATAGTGATGTGAAACTATTATCAATTGTAGTAAAAAATCCATCTGGTTTACTAATTTCCTTTTAGGGAAGGAAATCTGCTGTCCTTACCTGGTCTGGCCTACGTGACTCTAGACTCTTAGCAATGTCACTTACTCTTAACTGCCCTCTGAATCGGGTAAGCAAGGCAGTTCAAGGGCAGTCAGGGATGGAAAATTAATGCTGGTCTTACCAGTGAGAAACATCCCATGAAAAATAAAAAATAACAATCATCACGGATTAGGAGAAGTTATCTTGTGGCATTTATTCAAGGCACATTTATTTTTGGTGCAGAGTTGATTGAGATTTATTCATTTGCTCCATCGTCTACCTATCATTTTGTGTAGACTGCATGTTTTCTTTCCTCAGTGCTGACATGCTTTGCTTTCAAGAATGGATTCGCAAACTGAAGTGGGGGCCATTGTTTCCTCTGGACTTGGATAATGTCTACAAGATGTAATATTAGTCAATTTCAATCGGGCGTCTTCAAATCTCAGTGGATGTTATGACAAGTCAGATCCCAGGCTGAAATAAAGCTTGGTAGATCATAGTATTTTCTTGATTTAAAAATCAATCAGTAAATTGTGTACAATCCAGATCGCTCTGCTATAGGAGTGATGTTATTACCCTGGAAAAGGTGCAACAAAGATGTTCAAGGATGTTACTGAGACTGGAAGATTTGAGTTATAAGGAAAGGCTGGAACTTTTCTCACTGGAGTATAGGAGATGGGGGTGGTGGTTTAACTTTAGAGGTTTATAAAATCATGAGAGAAATAGATAAAGTGGATGGCAAGGTCTTTTTCCCAGGGTAGTGGAGAGGGGTAAGATTTAAAAGGGACTTGAGGGGCAACTTTTTCTCACACTATATATGGGATGAGCTGCCACAGGAAGTGATAGAGGAGGGTACAATTACAGCATTAAAAAGAAATTTGGACAATTACATGGATAGGAAAGGCTTGGAGGGATATGGGCTAAATGCAGGCAAATGGGACTAGTTCAGTTTAGGAAGCCTGGTCAGCATGGCTGAGTTGATCCAAACTGCCTGTTTCTGTGCTGTTTGATTGAGAAGCTTAGTATGCAAAAGTAGTAAAAACAAAATAGAATCTATTTACAACAACACAAATTTAAAGATTTAGCAACACCTGGTAAAATACATAACTATTAATCCCAAAGCATTCCTTTTATAGTATTCACACCAAGGAGGTATACCCTTCTATCATATTTTAAGAGCTAAGTTTTATTCACAATTCCCCACTTTGAGAATCTGAGCCTCATCCTGGAGTCTTCACACAACTGAGTTAAGACTTTATCAAGATTCACATAACTTCCTCAGGTCCAAATTCTTCTGGTGTGGAAATTTAAACAAAACTCCTTACACTGAAATTTCTTAACAGTCCTAAAATACTTTTTTGAGCAACTGTTTTATACGTCCAACTTTAGCCAAGGTTTCAGCAATGAACCTAAAATTGAAGGTATAACATGTAACATAAACTGAAACTAAAATGCTTTTTGCCCCAAGCTATAGGTATTTACCCAAAAAAGAAAATCACTCACTGATCTTTTGAATTAAAATTCTAGTGCATAACTGTTTTGTTTGCTTGTAAAAGCCCCTCTGTGTTTTTTAAAAAAAATTTCCATTGGTCTGGCCTAACTTTCTCACTTGGGGTGTTTTTTTTTTTTAAAAAACAGCACGGTTACAGAAATATTTGAGTTAATCGTTGAATCTCTCCTCATATGCTGCTAGTTCAAAAATTTCACACCTTGCATCAGAAAAACAATACATACTTGGACACAAAGGATCAGTATTCTGCCAGACCAGTGTATAAATTTTAAAGAATATTTAAGATACATTGGGATCTGAAGCCATGGGACTACTTTGATAGCATGGGCCTATTTTAGACCATTCTCTGAAATGTTTTCCATAATATTCTAGTCATAGAAGCTCTTACAGCTCAAACAAGATCTGTTGCGGCCAGGTGGCAGTGGAATCTACAGCTAACAATTGGTATGATTTCCCATAGGCTACATATGTGAGGTTGATGCCTCTTTATTTTCCACGATCTTTGGAGGAAGAAAAGAGGTCTCTACCGTTCCTCCCTGCCGATGTAGGGAATGCTGAAGGAGAGCCAGTCATTGCCGAACGTCAGATCCGTATATTGGACAAACCAGGCATTCCTTCTCGTGAGTGTTACTATATGATTGTTTCTTGGAAAGAAACCTTGAAAAATAATTTTCAAGCAGTGATGCCCTTGTTAACACACACCCCCTTAGGTTACATACTTCAGCTGGATGATCAGAAACATAATTGCTCCATTAGGCTGGTTTGAAAGGTATTTTAGTAAGTCTGAATCTTGCTTTGTTTAAAGGTTTTTTCTTCCTAGATTAGGCTGTGCTCAGGGAAGTAATATTTTGTTACTTTATGGTTATTAGATGGAAATGTGACTTTATAAGATGATGAATCTTCAATGTTTAGTATTCCTCTGTTTCCTTGTAGAGTAACTTGAGTCTCACCTTCAAATTTTGCATCAATTGTAGAATTCTAGCTTATTTGTCTACTTTTGTCATTTTTGATTTTAGTCAATAATTCAAGAGAAATTTAATCAGTTAAAACTCGTAGATTGTTAGTGTCTAATCTTGATTGGCAAAGTGTATAGACCTCACTAATGTTTGGAACCCAGACCTTAAACCTGTAGGTAATCATGTCTGGATTGACTGACCCCTTGAAGAGTAAGTGGAGAAACAGAAAATTGGTATCTCTTTGTATAGTTAGAGATTGGGAACTGTTGATAGAACCCAAGTATCCTTCATGAGTCACTGAAAGATGACATGGAACCAGCAAGTGATTCAGAAGGCAAGTGATATATTGTCATTTATTGCTAGAGAATTTGAGAACCGGAGAAATAACGTCTTGCTATATTTGTATAGAACCCTTGTGAGACACTGTAGCTGATGAACTGTGTGCCATTCTAGTCGCCTTAACTAAAGGAGTGTATGTTTGCCGTAGAGGGAATGCAACAATGTTCTCCAGGCTAATTGCTTGGATGGTAGAATTCTCCTCTGAGGGCTGATTAAAATGACTGGGCTTCTATTCTCCATGTTTTAGAAGAATAGGCAGGAACCACATTGAGATGTTCAAAATTTTTACAGGGTTCATCAAAGTAGATCTTGGTAGAATTCTCTGGTCTTGTCAAGGTAAGTGCAGGAAAGATGCAGTGTCTAGATTATGGGTCAGTCTCAAGCTAGGACTGAAGTGAAGAGGAAATTGTTCACACTGAATAGTGAATCTTTTGGAATTCTGCCTGCCGGAGGTCGGTGGAAGCTCAAGTGAGATTCCTGCTCGCTCTTCCTCCCTGTCCCCTCTCAAGGTCCTGATCCTTTATCCTCAACCTTGCCCCTGCAAGATCTGCATGCATAAGTGTCAACAAATGCAGCTGTACATAAGAAGGGGATGTTAATTGGCAGAGGTGTTGCCAAAGAGAAAGCATTGAGGGAAAAGTATAGGCTTCCCAAGTTCCTGGGTAATCTTTGAAAAAGGGCACATTATTTGTGAAGAATGGACCCCTGTGTATGTGTGGTGTACATGTTGATTTCTAGACTGCACAAATGTGCCATGTTACAAGCTCTCCTGATTATTGTTTATTCAGCAACCACTACCCAATTGCAGAAGCACATCTGACTTAGAATGTTTTATTTGGCGTTCTCCATGTGCGTGCTGTTTGATACAGACTACACTCTATTGCAAGTAGCCATTGTTTGATTTAATCAACCAGTCATTGTAACATATAGCCTACGTACCTAGCATGCATACTGGCATTGAAATACAAACAGAACTTTATGCAATTGTGCGTTAAGCAGAATGTCCTTTTGGACTGATTGCATCATCCTGTTAATGGAAAGTAACACTGTCAACCATTTTGTAGCAGGTGCTTAACCTGCTGTTTAATTTCTTTGAGAAACATTGCCTTTTCTGTTTAAAATTCTACTTGGATTTGTGAGCAAATGCTAAAGAGCTCGTCATTTGATGTATTAAAAGTTAATGTTGCTGGTATGATCACCAAGTTTTATAAAAGTGCAAAAAACATAAACCACTTTTGAATGCTATGTCAGTTTTAAGTGTTTTTGACCTAAGGAATGCCACTTCATCGTTGTTTTAGATGAAGATGAATCTGATGAGGAACACCTTGAGCTAGAGTATATTGGAACACATGCATTTGCTAAGATGGAAGGCGATATTGATAAACAGAGGCGGCTGATTCTTCAAGGGCAAATGTCTGAAGCAGCAGTTCAAAAAGCACATCAGCGAAAGTGAGTAGTGACTGAGCATATAACACATGAAAGTGAAAATGCAGTGAATATTCCATATTCTTTTATCTTGGTCTTGGGTTGATATGAATATGCCCTATATACAACATAGTACTGCTGCAAAAGATTGCAAAAAGAAACTTTACCTCCCTCACATTAGATTCTCCACATTAAAATACATTACCAAACATTTTTCTGTGCTGTTTTCAGATTTTTGTGCAGGTAATGTGCCCTGAATAAAACACTTGCGTGCAGTATGTATTATTTCAGTGTCACTTTCATGTTTAAGCTAACTATAAGCTGTTACTTAATTCATTTCATCTGTATGAATTCTTCCTTTTCTGGGAGAGAAAATAAACTTATACACAGCCTTTCTCCTTGATACCACAGTTAACATAGAAAGCATGGGGAATTGAGAGCATTGAACAGCATTTGTCTGCACCGTCACACTAGCTTTATCTTCATAGGTCTTCCACAGTATATTTGCTTTCATAGAATCCTATATTATCCTAGCTAGTTTTGTTATTAACTTGTTGGCAATGTTAACCCCGAGATGTACTAAGTTGCTGAAGTTGTAATTGCACTGCATTCCTTGCAAGTTCCAGGCAACCACATCATGAAATTATGTCTAGTAGCCATATGTTTTCTGTTTATTCCTGTTGTTTGTTAAATATTACTCACAGGATTACACTACTTCCTTTTAGCTATAACCGTTGGTTGTGCAGAGCTAGAGCAGATGACCTGTCGGGTGTTGCTTCATTAAAAGCATTATATCAAACTGGTAAGTAAATGCTTGAAGACTTTGAATGATGAAAGGCTATAGTGAGGACAAGACAGTTATTCTCAACAGATATTCTATAATTTTATTAAGCTGAAAGATCAGTGCAATCACGTGAGATATTCCTCAAAACATTCCTTTTAGTGCCTACAAGTTATTTTTCCAAATATGATCTAGTAAGCTGCAAAATAACAAGTCAGAACCTCTACTCAATTTTCTCTTGCTGTCTCAGTCCTTTATACTTTCTCCATTTCTCCTTCCACCCGTATCCGTGCACTTGCAGTTTTCCTTCTCAGAATGGTGACTTGGCAATTTATCTTTTTTAAAAGTGCAGTCTCTTGCTGCTTCCTACAGTGGCATGTCTGAGATCAGCCACTTAGCCAATCTTAGCATTCTGCAGCAGAGTTGAGTTGTATAAGATTGGTTTGGACGTTGGAGGGGACATTCAACACTATTATGAATCTGGGTTTCAAAATCTCGCAGATCTACTAGTTTGCTACTTCGTGGTGTGGGTGATTGTTCAGTCAATCTTTCGGTACTTTTCTTGTAAAGTAGACTTCATGCTTGTAACAGCCATTAATAGTAGTAATCCAACTACAGGTAAAATATGCTTTGTGTTGAGACTAATTTTGAAGTTTGTGATTCAAACTCTATTTGGTTCCACCGTCCTGGGATTCAAAGCTACTTGCCTAAAGGGCCATCTTTCCTATTCCTGTGCAGGTCTGAACAGCAAGCGTTAAGTTTTTGGTTAAGGCAACCGAGCCCAATTCCAATTCTATCCTAACCTGTTAATCCAAGTGCATTTCTCAGTGGGATTTATTAGACAGCACCCAGTGGCAGGAAAACGAGCGCCGG